ATGCTAGCTCTTTCTGCTCTGCAGTTCTCTGGGTCAAAACCTTGCAACTAGTACCTATGTTTGGGAAATCTGTTTTGCAGTCTTCATTTCAATCGCTGGATTGGTACTATTTTCATTCCTTATTGGGAACATGCAGGTAAGCCACTTGTTTGTTGAACCAAGTGTTGTCTACGGAAATGGGGGTTATTGTACCCATATAATTAGGTTTTGATGAAACTTAAGTTTCTTGAAACAGACATATTTGCAATCAACAACCACAAGATTGGAGGAGATGAGGGTGAAAAGGAGGGATGCAGAACAGTGGATGTCTCATCGCTTGCTCCCTGAGAATCTGAGGGAGCGTATCAGGCGGTACGAACAATACAGATGGCAAGAAACCAGGGGTGTTGATGAAGAGAATCTAATCTGTAATCTTCCAAAGGATCTCAGAAGGGATATCAAGCGCCATCTCTGCTTGGCTCTGCTGATGAGAGTGAGTTCTATGGCCTTTCTATGGTTGTTTCTTTAAAAGATTCTGCGTCTACCATATATTTGCTCTCTTGAATTTGAATGAAGTCCAGTCCTTTTCTGGATATGTTGCTTTTCCAAGGAGTTTGAGGGTTTTCCTGAAAATATGATTAAGGTAGAACGTTAATAAATGCAAATTTTGTTCACCAGTTGAGAAGATGCAAGAACTACACGTTATGTATACAGTGATCTTATAACTCATACAGAGCAATTTCTTTTGCAATAATTGTTTATAGTTTTTGAAACGTGGTTTTGAAATTAAGTTTGACAAAATATTATCGTGTTCTTCATTTAAATGCTAGCTTCGCGCTAGTTTAATTTGTTTAACAAGCTGGACAAATTTAATTCTTACCAATTTTCTTGGATGCTAGGTGCCGATGTTCGAGAAAATGGATGATCAACTGTTGGATGCAATGTGTGATCGTCTCAAGCCAGTGCTTTACACAGAGGAAAGCTATATCGTTCGTGAAGGAGACCCGGTCGACGAGATGCTCTTTATAATGAGAGGCAGGCTGCTGACAGTGACCACAAATGGTGGAAGAACTGGTTTCTTCAACTCCGAATATCTCAAGGCTGGTGATTTTTGTGGAGAAGAACTTCTTACATGGGCTCTGGATCCCCACTCCTCGTCTAACCTCCCTATATCGACAAGAACTGTGCAAGCCCTTACAGAAGTTGAAGCCTTTGCATTGAAGGCGGATGATTTGAAATTCGTAGCCTCTCAGTTCCGGAGGCTTCACAGTAAGCAGCTTCGCCACACTTTCAGGTTTTACTCACAGCAGTGGAGGACTTGGGCGGCTTGTTTTATCCAAGCAGCCTGGCGCCGTTACAGTAAGAAAAAGCTTGAGGAGTCTCTTAGGGAAGAAGAGAACAGGTTGCAAGATGCTCTGGCTAAGGCTGGTGGGAGCTCACCAAGTTTGGGTGCCACCATCTACGCCTCACGCTTTGCTGCTAATGCGCTTCGGCTTATAAGACGTAGTGGCACGCGGAAAGCGAGGGTGCCAGAGAGAATACCACCAATGCTGCTTCAGAAGCCAGCGGAGCCAGATTTCACTGCTGAAGAACATTAGGTAATATGTGACCAGCAATGTAAGCTTGATTTGTTGTGTGAAATGCAACTATTTT